GGGGCGGATCACAGCCGGGACACGGGGAGGGGGGGGGGGAGGTGAACGGCGACGCGGACTAGGCCCAAGGTGGGAACCCCCGCGGCCGGAACGGGGGGGGGGGGGAGGGAGTCGAGCATCGCGATCCACTGAAACAGGGGGGGGGGGGGATACTGACCATCACCCTGAACGGAGATCCGCAGAAGAGCGGCGTAGAAGCCCAACGCAAATAACCGCAGACTCGAGAAATCCATTTCAAACACCAAGCGTGAAAAGCCGGGGGACAGATACTGGATAAATTTAAATGTATGTCCTTTGTCTCCGGTGATTTATCTGAATCTGGAAGACGACTCCTCGCAGGAGCTTTAGACTTGACAAGGAATCTAAATTTGACATCCAAGTGGCACGCTAAGTGATGCTTCAGCGCGATGTCCATTCTGATGCTCCTACAGAATTCTCCATTCTGCCCACTGAACGTCTTCAAATTCGACGTCTTTCGCGTTCATCAAAGAACAAGTTCGAAAAGCCAGGCCCATGACAGCTAGCAGTGCAAGTCACCTTTGGACCGCACACTTGCCCCGCAGCTCGCGTCAATACAGTACAAACATACCTGCGATACAGCGAAACACAAGACGTACCTTTCACCTAGTCGTGAATCAAACTTCGGGATGAATTCAGTCTGAACGTTCTGCGTCGCAAATATGCTTTCAACGGCATCATTCCGTGATTGAACTTTTGCTTGAGAGAGATTCCGTCACTCGAGAATGAAAACAACTCAACGGAACGAACCTCGCCAACATTTCACGTCATATCAAATTCAATTTCGATAGCAATCCACTTCCTCGGTCCTGACGGGCCAAACGATCCTCCAAATCCTCGCCAGTGCAGCTGAGCCTCTTGCTGAGCCAGGCGTCATAACCGGCGCGGCGCACAAGCTTAGCCACCAGCAGGCTTTCGCCACGTCCGAGCCCAATAGCAAACATAACTCATGTGTCCTGCCTTGTCCCTGCTCATCTCCCTCCTCCATCGGATGCCGTCTTCAGTATTCACGGTAGCTGATGACTCGATACGACTTACGGCGCATTCTCCCGGCTGGCCAAGCCACACACAGCCGGGGTGAAGGAGTTCCGAATCAATGCGAGGTGCGCGGCCCGAGACACCGGTCCCGAATGCCGAGAGATCCGGCGCAGCAGACCACCGGCTCGGCGCCGGGCGGACGGCGCGCCCGGCACGGCCGGGGCCGGCCGGGGCGCCGGGCGGCGGGGGAGGGGACGGCGACACTGCCGGCGGCCAGGGGGGGCGCGGCGCGGCACGGCAGGACCGGCGCCAGGCGCGCCCGGCGGCGGCCAAACACGGCCATCGATTCGGTCGGCACGGACGATCGGCAGCCGCTGCCGCTGCCGCTGCCGCTGCCGCTGCCGCTGCCGCCGTCGCCGCGGCACCGGCTGTTCGCTACCGGCTGTCCGCTGTCCGGCCTCACGCCGCCATGCAGCCTGTCTCGCCGGCCGTGGCCGTCCGACGGCCGTCGCCGCGGCCCGGGGCGACACGGCGGCGTTCGTTAGCCACCACCGAGCCGCGACCGTCTCGTGTTGCAGCGGAGGCGCCGGACCCGCGGCTGGGCGGCGGCTGACGCTGCGCTGCCGGCCGGGGACTGTACCTGGGCGGCGGCTGACGCTGCACTGCCGGCCGGGGACTGTAGCTGGGCGGCGGCTGACGCTGCGCTGCCGGCCGGGGACTGTAGCTGGGCGGCGGCTGCCGTCGCCGGCCGGGCCCGTGGCTGGGGCTGCCAGCCCGGACGACATGCAGATGGCGTGGCGAGGTCACTCAGCAGTGCCGACACGTGCGCCGCCGCGCGTGACGACCGGGGGCCCGCGTCAGCCGCCACCGGCCGGCACAAGTCAGCCGCCACCGGCCAGCACTCAGCCGCCACCGACCGGCACTCAGCCGCCACCGGCCGGCACTCAGACGCCACCGGTCGGCACAAGTCAGCCGCCGCCGGCCGACACACGTCAGCCGCCACCGGCCGACACACGTCAGCCGCCACCGGCCGACACACGTCACCCGCCACCGGCCGGCACACGTCAGCCGCCACCGGCCGACACACATCAGCCGCCACCGGCCGACACACGTCAGCCGCCACCGGCCGACACACGTCAGCCGCCACCAGCCGACACACGTCAGCCGCCACCGGCCGGCACACGTCAGCCGCCACCGGCCGACACACGTCAGCCGCCACCGGCCGGCACACGTCAGCCGCCACCGGCCGGCACACGTCAGCCGCCACCGGCGGACACACGTCAGCCGCCACCGGCGGACACACGTCAGCCGCCACCAGCCGGCACACATCAGCCGCCACCGGCCGGTACTCAGCCGCCACCGGCCGGCACAAGTCAGCCGCCACCGGCCGACACATGTCAGCCGAGCACGCCGCCAGTTCCCTTCACAGAAGCCGGCTTCTAGTGCGTGAATAACGAACGGTCTGGGAGTTATTCTACAATTTCCTCAAGTATACTCAAGGATGTAACAAAGCCACGGTCATGACTAGAATTACGTCCAGAAATCAAGCACGGACCAGGATAAAGACCTGCAATAATGCCAATGCATCCAACAAAAAACATGTAGGTACGCTCAGAAATCTAGCACAAACCATGAACCTGTGCGTTTAGCCAAGACTCGGAAAGAACTAGAGCCTAGTCTACAGCTCATGTCAAGAGTCTGTATTTCAACCATGCCACACTCGGTAATACGGCAACTGTCATCTAGTAAAATAGAAAATCACGAAGCTCTCATGGAAATATGGTAGCGGCTTACATGCAGTACGCATTCACCGAATTAGAACACCACAGAAACAAACAAAACAAATTTACACCGCTAAACCGAGCGATATAGGTTTAAGTTGCAGTCTTGGATTCGACAGCAGCCACCCAGTCAAAAAAGTACACGAGGAAGGCTGCACAGCACGTGCTGAGTTAAATGGTTTCAGCTTCTGATCTGAGCAAAAGCTGGCGTGAGAGCTCATGGAAACTGAGATGCAGGGTCTGGCTTTTGCCTAAAAGCTGGGGCGAACCAGAATTCTGCTCGTTTTATTGCGAAAGAAGCAACGGTACAACGGGATCCTGGTTTTGCATATTTACCGATATCACAAAGGAACACAAGATCTAGGGCGCGCGCTCGTCAAATATCCGATGGAAAATAGCATCCCGGATTCCTTTTGTGCGAAAAACAATCAAGACACGGGATTCAAGCATCCGGGATCCACGGGAGAAGCAGTCAGGCCGGTGCCTGGGGACTGGGACAGGTACACCATGTCTCCCCGGCGGAGGCCGGTATGATGAGGAGAGAAGTGAGGCAGCGCTCTCCCTCGGACCCACCCGGCAGCGGTGGGCCGGAACGGCGGCAGTGTGATGGGGAGAGGGAGTGAGGCAGCGCTCTCCCTCGGACCCACCCGGCAGCGGGTGGGCCGGAAACGGCGGCAGTGTGACGGGGAGAGAGAGGGAGGCGGCGCCCTCCCCGGCGGCGGGTGGGGCACAGACATTGTGGTCAGTGTGACGGGGAGAGGGAGGGAGGCGACGCCCTCCCCGGCGGCGGGTGGGGCGCAGACATGGTGGTCAGTGTGACGGGGGGAGGGAGAGAGGGGGTACCCTCTCAGGCGGCGGGTGGGGCACAGACATCGTGGTCAGTGTGATGGGGAGAGGGAGGGAGGAGGTACCCTTTCAGGCGGCGGGTGGGACACAGACATCGTGGTCAGTGTGACGGGGAGAGGGAGGGTGGCGACACCCTCCCCGGCGGTTGATGGGGCACAGACATAGTGACCAGTGTGATGGGGAGAGGGAGGGAGGCGGCGTCCTCCCCTGCAGCGGGTGAGGCGCAGACAAAGTGACCAGTGTGATGGGGAGATGGAGGTAGGCGACACTCTCCCCGGCCGTTGATGGGGCACAGACATGGTGGCCAGTACGACGGGGAGAGGGAGGGAGGCGGCGCCCTCCCTGGCGGCGGGTGAGGGGCAGACATAGTGACCAGTGTGACGGGGAGAGGGAGGGAGGCGGCGCCCTCCCCGGCGGCGGGTGAGGGGCAGACATAGTGACCAGTGTGACGGGGAGAGGGAGGGAGGCGGCGCCCTCCCCGGCGGCGGGTGAGGGGCAGACATAGTGACCAGTGTGACGGGGAGAGGGAGGGAGGCGGCGCCCTCCCCGGCGGCGGGTGAGGGGCAGACATAGTGACCAGTGTGACGGGGAGAGGGAGGGAGGCGGCGTCCTCCCCTGCAGCGGGTGAGGCGGGCCGACATACCAGCATCCCCGCAGGGTCGGGGTCATGTGGCTCAGCGCCGCGGCACGGCCGTCAACAGCCTGTCAGCCCGCGGCCGTTGTCACAGCACAAGCCCAGTCAGGTCCGCCAGCCCGTCATGTACAACCTGCTCATGTGCGCGGACATGACGCGAATACAGCGAGCGCGGCGCCTGGCGGAGAGCCATGCAGGCACCAGATGCGGGCCAGCTCGGCTCACGGTCGGCCGGGCGTAAGCCGGGCTAATGCCCCGGGCTCAGCTGCGGCTCACGGACACCCATTCGCTCCCCGCCACGCCGCCGCCGCTTGACAGCGGCCTCCGGGAAGCGTCGACTGGCCGGCGCGGCCGCGCTGACCGGGCGTGACCCGCCCTACAACAGGGCCGCCACCGCCGGCCGCCGGCTGACAGTTCCCGGGAGCCGGGCCGACCGCCGAGCGACAGCCGACGGCCGGCCGCCGAGAACGCAGCGGTCGCGCCGGCGGCCTGACAGAGCGCCGCCGCGGCCTGACAGAGCGCCGCCGCGGCCTGACAGGGCGCCGCCGCGGCCTGACAGAGCGCCGCCGTGGCCTGACGGGGCGCCGCCGCGGCCTGACAGAGCGCCGCCACGGCCTGACGGGGCGCCGCCGCGGCCTGACGGGGCGCCGCCACGGCCGTCCGTCCCGACCGTGCGCCGGCCACCAGTCCCGCGCACGCGGGCACACCGGTCCGCCGGCCCGGACCGACCCGGCGTCGCGTACCTTCAGGTCGCAGGTGGTGTTCAGCAGCAGGTTGCTCGGCTTCAGGTCCCGGTGTAGCACGTTCGCGGAGTGGATGTACTTGAGCCCCCGCAGAATTTGGTACAGGAAGTAGCAGATGTGGTCGTTACTCAGCTTCTGGAAGGGCGTAGACGCTTGTGGGCACACGCCGACCGATTCGCCCCAGCCTCCATGAGTTGCTGCGGCACCTGCCAGCCTAACGTCCTCACCACAACGCACAATCCTGCCCAACAGGAGATATGCCATTTGTAGCGCATTGCGAGCCAAAGGATGGTCGCTAACAACTTATTTGCTGCTTTACAACGCGATTTTACTACAGGCGCAGCGCAAACATATAGTTAACGAGCACCCGGGCCATTCCAGCATCAAAAGCCCGCTATTCGCGCAAACCTTCACAACAATCGTCAAAAGCGAGTCAGGCCCAAGGCGCCGGGCCAACCGGTACGGAAACTCATTGCTCTGAGTCGGATGAGCGCCACTGGAAGCAAAGACATCGGCAATCAAACAACGCCAGCGCCAAATCAAGCCGGCCGTCAACAGAGGGCGCCGCCGACAGACGAGAACAGAATTACACGACGGGCTGGCAGTACGGCGGAGAGCGGAGCCGCCGACCGCCAGGGACAGACGGCCCGGTCGACCGCCGCCCGTACCGACAGACAGCCCGGTCGGCCGCCAGGGTCGACCGCCGCCCGTACCGACAGACGGCCCGGCCAGCCGCCAAGAGCAGATAGCCCGGTCGTCCGCCGCCAGCACTGACAGACGGCCCGGCCGGCCGAGGCAGCATCGACAGACGGCCCGGCCGGCCGCCAGGGGCAGACGGCCCGGTCGACCGCCGCCCGTACCGACAGACGGCCCGGCCAGCCGCCAAGAGCAGACAGCCCGGTCGTCCGCCGCCAGCACCGACAGACGGCCCGGCCGGCCGAGGCAGCACCGACAGACGGCCCGGCCGGCCGCCAGGGGCAGACGGCCCGGTCGACCGCCGCCCGTACCGACAGACGGCCCGGCCAGCCGCCAAGAGCAGACAGCCCGGTCGTCCGCCGCCGCAGCACTGACAGACGGCCCGACCGGCCGAGGCAGCACCGACAGACGGCCCGGCCGGCCGCCAGGGGCAGACGGCCCGGTCGACCGCCGCCCGTACCGACAGACGGCCCGGCCAGCCGCCAAGAGCAGACAGCCCGGTCGTCCGCCGCCAGCACCGACAGACGGCCCGACCGGCCGAGGCAGCACCGACAGACGGCCCGGCCGGCCGCCAGGGGCAGACGGCCCGGTCGACCGCCGTCCGTACCGACAGACCAGCCGCCAAGAGCAGACAGCCCGGTCGTCCGCCGCCAGCACCGACAGACGGCCCGGCCGGCCGAGGCAGCACCGACAGACGGCCCGGCCGGCCGAGGTGCTCACCGACAGACGGCCTGGCCGGCCGAGGCAGCACCGACAGACGGCCCGGCCGGCCGAGGCAGCACCGACAGTTGGCCCAGCCGCCGCCAGCACCGACAGCCCAGCCCAGCCCCCGTCATCCCACCTGTGTCTTCAGCAGCTTGTAGAGGTCCGTCTCCATGAGGCACTGCACGATGTACACATCCTTCATGTTCTCGATCGTCGGCGTGCGGATAATGTCGCGGATGTCGATCACCTGAGGGTGACACGGGCGTCACGAATCCGTCACGCGTCACGCACGGACGTCACGCGCCGCATCACACACGAGTGAACACCACACGTCGTTGGCGCCAGTCACGACACAGATGCACATGACACGCCGTCACGCAAGCGTTCATATATGCCGGCATCACACATCTGACACCGGTGACAATCAGTCATCGAAATACACGTGAGCCAGGTGTCGCAGACATACGCACAAGTCCCTTCGATGAGACTCTCCCGTATTTGTTTCCTCTCAGAGTGAATCTGCCTACCACACCTCCACACCGACTCCGTTCAGAACTTCCCCAAAGTCAATGCCCTGTTTGAAGAGGTGTATGTATGTGTGTATACTTGCATACATTTATGTTTGTTTGCATGCATACACACATGCCTACATATTTGAATGTATGCACGTATGTATTGTTCTCTTCAGGGTCCATCGTCTCACTTGCATACACTGCGTCATTTGCACGTCAAAAACGCCCACTTAAAGCACAAACATTCACACCATGGAATCACACGAAGGCGAATTCCCAACCTTATTAACAAACGCTCTGGATTTCCCTCCGCTCCACCGCCGCGTCACCACCCCTTACACCACGTGACTTGGTCATTCGTGGTATTTCTGGTAGCCGCGGCCCGGCCGGGACGACATCCTGGATGCCTGGAACCGGCATCGGGGGTGTGGAGCGCCGAGCCGTCCGCGGCCCAAACTCCGCCTCAGCCGACCCCACGCGCGCGCTTCAAACAGCGATTCCAGGCAATGCGGACCGAACTTCAAGCATCGCGCTATGGATCCATCGCTGATTTCGCAATGCGACCATTTTGCGGAGAGCCGTTCGAGGTCTCCGGTGGCTGGAGAGGTCCGGTTTGCGTACAGTAGTCATTTCCCCAGCGGCGGAACCAATTACCTTTCGCACCTGTTTTTGTTGAGTCAGTGCGCTGGAAGTCATTGCGTCGAGAACCATTGCGCCGTCACGAGAAAAACCAGGAGGTGAATCACTATTTTTAGAATTCGGCCAGGAAACCTCGCCTTGTGATGTTTTGTGCGGCGCGCTCGCATCTCTGCACCAGCCCGTCTGCTTCTCCCCACCCAAACAATGGCCAGTGTCGTTAGTTCCAATCTTGGCGCATGCCACTGGTGCAGCCGCACCGCGTTCCGTTTTACTGTCGGGATCGAGAGAAAGCAGCGGAGTGTCAGCCAGCGCGACGCCGGTTCGGTGGCCTTCGCTTGCAAGCAGCTGTTGTGACTGCACGGACGAGACGACACCGTTCATTCGGTCTCTGTTGGAGGCTGCATCCCAGCGGGATCATCCGGCTTTGTGCTGTGAATAATTTGACTGCCATCTGCACCGCTGGTGAGTTTATCAAAGCCAGCCCAAGTCAAAGTCAGAGTTAAGGTGTGAATCTTGGAATCGTGGTGATCTCGTACTTGGATGCTACGCTGCAGCGTACGCTGGCAGTTCTCCCGGACACCTCACTTTAACAAATACATGTTTCCTAACGTCGAATTCCGGGCATGGCAAGTGACGAACGAAGCCATACGCGTAGAAACAGGGGAGGACCAAGACACCGCGGCCCTTTCACTTTTGTGAAAGTTTTGCCCTAGGATGCGGTGATGCAAGAGAAAGCCGACTTAAGAAGTGAGTCCCCTCACACTTTTTGGGCGTTCCTACGTTTCTGTCGGGAGCTCTTCAGCTATTACCATTACGGTTAATTTACATCAGTTCGATCTTCCCTAGTTTCTCCATGGTACTTATTCTGCCTCCTTTACGAAACAGAACGCGCTGTTGAATCAGGATGTTTTCCAACAACCTCAGTACACGGCAAAGTACAACCCGCAATACCATTTACTTGAACTGCCAAGCATGCGTGCTGGGATTGCCGTACAGCACCCTACACCTGGGAAACCGCTCGACGACTGAAGTCATACGCCGACTCATTCAAGAGGGCGCCGAAGTTCATGCAGCTCGCCGATGAGCCGGCACAATGGCCGGGCTCGGCTCCCTGCTATTCTATCGGCATGTGCTCGCTA